AATGGTGATTACATGTGGGTCTACCTCACTCTATGTGTAACCTCACTGACGTGGTGATTACATGTGGGTCTACCTCACTCTATGTGTAACCTCACTGACGTGGTGATTACATGTGGGTCTACCTCACTCTATGTGTGACCTGACTGAAATGGTGAGTACCTTACTCTGTATGTGACCTCACTAAAGTCGTAAGTACTTCACTCTATATGAGTCAAGATGTGGTGGAATCAGGCACTCTTCAATTTTGGGCGTATGGAGTTGTTAGTATAATCTCAAAGGTTGCTCATTTGTCTTGCATTTGCTGGAAGAAAAACCCCAATTGATCTTGATTAGAAGCTGAGATATTTGCGATTGATGGAGATGAGGGTTGCCTGGTGTCAGAGTCAGAGGTAACGTTTGTGAGAAAATGACCTCTGAAGTATCTAAAGTTCTAAAGCTAGAGTGTCCCTGGGAACTAGACATTTGCATTATACATAACTATGTTTTTAAATGGACATAAAAGGTGATGAGCCAATAACAAATTATATTAAAAAACCCAACCGCTCAACCATCAGAAATTTGCCGTTTTCTTTGATTTCATTATTTTGACGAGCGCCTGATTTCACCACGCTGCCGCACATATGTGACCACACTAGAGTGGTAAGTACATGTACCTCACTTGCTGCAGTAGCTTCAGGTCTTTTTCTCTGCTTTCCTTCAGATCGTTTTACTGTCCCTGTTCAGTTCTTTCCCTGTTAGGTCGTTTTCTATCCCTGTTCAGGTCCTTTTCTGTCCTTGTTCAGGTCGTTTTCTTTTCCTGTTCAGGTCGTTTTCTATCCCTTTTCAGGTCTCTCCCTGTTCAGGTCGTTTTCTAATCCTGTTCAGATTGGGTTTTTTGTCCCTGTTCAGGTCCTTTTCTTTCCTTGCTCAGGTCGTTTTCTCTCCCTGATCAGATTGTTTTTCGTTCCTTGTTCTGGTAGTATTTTGTCCCAGTTCAGGTCGTTTTCTATTCCTGTTTAGGTCGTTTTCTATCCCTGTTCTGGCTGCTTTCCTTCCCCATTTTCCACCAGATCCGTTGTCTGATTCTGCCATTATAACAGTAGGACTGTCATGGGCGTATATCAGATTGTTGACATAAAATTATTCCTTTGTTTTTTTTTATAATGTAAAGACCTATCCCTCGTCTCCGTCTTTCAACATTGCAGTATGAAGTATGTCAATATAATTTCGGGGAAAAAAGACCAACAAATACAAACAACCCCCCCCCCCCCCATAAACAAAACCCACAGAAAAACAGCGTTTTGTAGAATTTGATTAATTAAAAGGCATTGGCTGGTTCTAGCCTCATTCCTCTTTTTTAAATTAAAGTATTTAGACGAGTTAAAAGTTTTGTATTTAGATTATATCCTGACTGAAATAAGACAGGCCTTTTTTGTATTTTTGTTCTTGTTTTTTTTTGGTATGAAAAACTCGTATTTTGGCAAACAACAAGGATGAGTAACGGCCAGAACTTGTACACGTATTAGATAGCCCCTAGAATTATCTAAATCTTCCTCTACAATAATGTGAAATTGAAAAGTCGCACATTTTCCTCTACAATAAAGTACAACTAAAATGTTGTAAATCTTCACTACAGTAATGTATTGCTGAAAAGTTGTAAATCTTCCACTACAGTAACATACAACAAAAGTATTGTGAATATTCCTCTTATAAAACGTGCAACTAAAATGTAAGTCTTCCTCTTAAATAATGTGCAACAAAAATGTTGTATATTTTCCTCTACAATATTGTAAAACTTAAATGTTGCACGTTTTCCTCTACAATAAAGTACAACTAAAATGTTGTAAATCTTCCACTACAATAATATACAACAGAAATATTGTAAATATTCCTCTTATAAAAAGTGCAACTAAAATGTTGTAAATCTTACTCTACAATAATGTACAACAATAATGTCGTAAACATGCTCTACAATAATGTACAACTAAAATTATGTTAATCTCCCTCCTCAATAATGTACAACCATACTGTTGTAAAGCTCCCCCTACAATAATGCCCAACTACTTCTTCTTCTTCTTTTTCTCCTTCTCCTTCTCCTTCTCTTTCTCCTTCTCCATCTCCATCTCCATCTCCATCTCCATCTCCATCTCCTTCTCCTTCTCCTTCTCCTTCTCCTCCTCCTTCTTCTTCTTCTTCTTCTTCTTCTTCTTCTCCTTCTCCTTCTCCTTCTCCTCCTCCTC